AGCCCTGTATCTCCTTGGTTTTTTTTTTTTTTAGATTTTATTTATTTGAGGGAGAGTAAGCAAGTGAGAGTGTGTGAGAGAGAAGGAGCGGGGGGGGAGGGGCAAAGGGAGAGGGAGAAGCAGACTCCCCACTGAGCAGGGGGCCCGCCATGGGGCTCAGTTCTGGGACTCTGGGAGCATGACCTGAGCCAAAGCAGACACCCAACTGACTGAGCCATGCAAGCACCCCCTCCTTACTGTGTTTTCAAGGACAGGCTGTAAGAGTGTTGGTCCAGTGCTCTCTGTGGCTGGATGGGTAGGTCTGTATGATTCAGCCTTAGTATAAGGAAGCCCTCTTTTACACAGATACAAGCCTCATTCTCTAATTTCAGCGTTACTACTACTAAGGATAATATTTCATGCTTCACTTACCTTGTCAATTTATGAATTAATTAGTTTTTTTTAAAGGATTTATTTGAGAGAGAGCGAGCTCGCAAGCAGGGGGAAGGGCAGAGGGAGACAAGTAGACTCCCTGCTGACCCGGGAGCCTGATGCTGGCTCAATCCCAGGACCCTGAGATCATGACCTGAGCTGAAATCAAGAGTTAGATGCTCAGCCAACTGAGCCACCCGGGCGCCCCCTATTTATGAAATCGTTTAAAGCCTGGATGAGAAAGAGGTTAAGGTGAATCACTTAACAAAAGCATCTTGTTGCTTTTTGACATGTTGAGTATGAATTGGTTTTATCACTTTCTAGCCTTGCCTGGCATCACAATTAATATATACTGAAATTTAATATAAACACACAATTTTGTAATATTTGATGTCAGAAAATACATTGGGGACAACTTTCAAATCATCCAATACTTGTACAGTTGGACCTTCTCCAACAGCAGATTTTAGTTATTTTTCTAAGGTTACTGGTCCGTCGTCTTCTTTCATGCTTTTCATGGTGAGGTGAATAACCCCTTTAATTCTTTGTAAATATTAAATAACATGTTTTTCAGTTAAGGTAAAAATATTTTCAAAAACCTATACAACCCATGGAAGGGTCACAAAGTGCTCCTTTTTCCTAAAGGTAACATCAATTTCCATAGAAACGAGAGTTCAACATCAAGGCAGTTGATGGGAAAATGACACACAGACTTAAGGGTCTGTATCACAGATTCTGTGTCATCTGGGAGGCTTCCAGTCACAGCGAGTAATAGAAAGATCCAACTGAGAGTGGCTTAAGAAATAAAGTTATTGGTTCACTCAAATGAAAACTATAGAGGTACATGTAGCTGGGGGTCAGAACTGATCCAGAATCTTGTATGACATGATTTAGGTCCCAGTTTCTTTCAATTTTTATTGTCATTTCCCGGTTTTTATTTCATTTTGACTCCAAACTCCCACTTCCCATTTCATAATCTGAATTGGCTTTGAGGAGATTTGTGAATTAGGACACAAATCCTAATTGATGAAACAACAAAGAATTTATGTCAGGATACACAGAAAAAAAATGTCTTTTTCAGAGTCATCCGACTGGGCCAGCTTAGGCAACTGTGTCAATTCCAAACATTCATTATGAACAGAGATGGCACATGTAGATTGGCTCTGCTAATCAGGGCCCCTCTGGGGCAGGGGAGGCCAATTCCATCTAAACCACAAAGGTGAGAATGGAGGGAGAGGTTCTGAAAAGAAATTCCAGCTACTGGTCTCATAGGAGAAATAGATGCCAAGCAGCCAGTAACAAGGTATTCACTACAGATACTTCCAGAGTCTATTTCTTATTCACTCACTCCGAAAGAAATTTAAGACGTCACCCAAAGTAACCCAAAACTTCACATACTTTCTGCATGTTAAGTAATACATTTTAAGAAAAGAAACAGTTAAATCATTTCATGGTATTTTATTTCTGTAATTCTACAATCACTAAAGAGGCCTTGCTATTAAAGTAATAACACTCTGTCTGGAGGATTTTATGGTTCAGTAATGTGTCCACATTCAAAAGACAGACCTTGCTCTGATGACTCCTGAACTCAAACGTACTTTTTAGTTGATATCCCTTCTCCAGTATGGCTTTAAACAATACGACCTTCGAAAATTGCCACACTACAAAAGCACATACTGACAACATAATAACCTTCTTTTCACAAGGCATGGCACCCAACGTTGTCTTGGTTCACATCCTACGGTATGTTCGTTCTCTGATGCTGAGCTCCACGTTTTGTTTTGGCCTAGATCTTAATCTTCGAGCGTTTTTACGATCGTGTTCTGGTTTTCCCTTGGCCACCGTCCCCACTCGCACCCTTTCCTAGACTCCCTGTACCTTTTTCAAGCTAAAGTTCTCTCTCTACCTTTCCTTTATCTGATGAAATCCAAGAAAGAGCCTAGAGTGAAACGAATACTTGCTCTTTGCCCCACCTGCTTAGCTGCTTGCAATCTGTCTTCAGCCTCTATAATTTGAATCTGCCTAAAGTTATCAGTGACATTCATCTTCATCTTACTGAAATATTTACATGGTTGATAACCCCTTCCCTTTGAGTTTGCTCCTCTTATCTGATTGGTTGTCTTCTGTCACCCTTAAGATGTAACCATGTCTCTCTGTTCTGTTAATGACTCTCATTTCTCTTTTACTCATCAAATAAAACCCAAACACATTTAGTAAGAGGCAGAGTTTTCACATTCTGGTCCTGGTCTTTCAGCTTTCTCTTCTATTCCTTCCTTTTATTACCACATTGACAACACACTGCTCAAGACATGTCACCTGTGCTTTTTTCCATGGTTCCCTTTTAAATCTCTACCATCAAGGCCAAGCTTCAAGTTTTCCCTTCCATGAACCCTGCTCTAGTTCCCCCCAAGCTATAAACTATCTCCAACTCCAATCAACCAGCTCCATGCTGTCACCAGCTCTTCACTAGGTAAGCTTCTTAACTAGGAACTCTTGTTTCTTGTCTCCTAATTGTTTCCTCATACAATCGCTAGAATGATCTCTCCCACAGTCTAAACCCCTGACCATGGCCTATAAGATCTGGCCCATGCTAATGTTTGTAAAATGCTAAGCACTTTACATGGACTGATCCATTTAATCCGATCAATGATCCTATGAGCTACCTACTTTTTAATATCCTCATTGGCAGACGCTGTTGATGACGCACCAAATCCCTTTTTTCTTACAGGGCTGGTACACCCATATCCCAGCTGCTAAGAGCTGTCACCTCCACCTGATTTGGAGGATTGCTCTTGACTGAGAGGGACCTAGCCTCCCCGCCTCCCCTCCTCCCCGTGACAGGTAGTCAATGACTGCCTGATGTGAGAACACAATAGCCCAGCCTCTCACCTCAGGGCAGGACAATCTCTGTGGTCTAATTCATAATGCAGAGTGTCCTGTAGGGTCAGGCTGAAACTTCTGTTTTCTTCACTCCATTACAGATTCTCATAAGAGCACTCCCTCAATAATCACTTGCCCAAGAATCCTCATATCATTCTCATCCACAAGGGAACAAATCTTTTTTTTTTTTTTAAGATTTATTTATTTATTTTGAGAGAGTGAGAATGAGAGAGAGAGTATATGAGAGGGGGGAGGGTTAGAGGGAGAAGCAGGCTCCTCGCTGAGCAGGGAGCCCGATGCGGGACTCGATCCTGGGACTTCAGGATCATGACCTGAGCCGAAGGCAGTCGCTTAACCGACTGAGCCACCCAGGCGCCCTCACAAAGGAACAAATCTTTTATCTTCTATTTTTTTTTTAAATTTTATTTATTTATTTGAGAGAGAGAGAATGAGAGATAGAGAGCATGAGAGGGAAGAGGGTCAGAGGGAGAAGCAGACTCCCTGCTGAGCAGGGAGCCCGATGTGGGACTCGATCCCGGGACTCCAGGATCATGACCTGAGCCGAAGGCAGTCGCTTAACCAACTGAGCCACCCAGGCGCCCCACAAAGGAACAAATCTAAGACACATGTTACATATGAGAAAACTTGGTTGGCCTGAGGCCAAATAGCAAATGGGAAAGCTGAAATTTAAAGACAATCCTGTACTCTTTCCTACCATACTATAAGGGCCATTTCTCCAACCTCCTCCTCCCTGGTCACCCTCTCCTCACTCATCCCCTTCAGCTAAATTAATTCCTGCCTCAGGGCCTTTGTACTTCATATTTTCTCTGTCTAGAATGTGTTTCCTTATCTCATTGTGGCTTGCTTCCTCATTTCTTTCAAAATGTTTCAAATATTACCTCTTCCAAAAGGTCTTTCCTCACCCTAACCATCCTAAGATAGCAGCACCATTTCCAACTCTGCTTTAGTCCTATTTATAGCATTTAATATCTGAGACTGTATTATGCATAATTGATGTTTTTTGTCACTCACACTAAAATGCGAGTGAGGGCAGGAATGTTGTCTGGCCTATTTTCTGCTGTATCTCCAAGTGCTGGCATCGCACAGAGCAAGAGCTCAGTAACAATTTGTTGTTGCATGAGTGGAATGAGTTCTCTTTTCACAGAACTCTGACAGAGCTTTGTAGAAATCTTCTTGCCTGTTAGTCTAGAATTATTAGTTACTTAATGCTTATTTATTTTTTCTGCAAGCCTGAATGCTCTTAGAAGACAGAAATTATGTTTTAGTAATTTGGGGGTACACAGGAGGCAAACAATGGCACTACCTCTAAAACTCCAAACAGTAATTTCATATTAATTATAGTAAATCCAGAAGCATGGAAAAATACATCGCATTTAATTGATAAAGTATTCCTGTGCATGTTACAAGAGATTAAATACAATTAGATACTTACTGTTTCATATTTTTAAAACAATGCCATTTTCAAAATATAAAAAATAGACCTATTTTCAAAGAACCATTTAAATATGGCTTTGAAAACCACAATGTTTTATTTACAACAAATAGATGGAAGTGCAACAGCATTCATAAAGGTTTATGATAAATAAAAATATTATTCTGGCATCCTTTTGGGGCAGGCTTTATAGATATTTACAATGGCTTAAAGAAGTAAAATCAATAATGGCCATCAATGTAATTTGTATTTAAACCTGAATATGAACAACCAATGGAGATTAATCATTTATTTGGGATCTGAACCCATATATCCGATAGCTGAAGTAGGAAGTTAGTTTCTTATTTTCACACACTTTCTCAAAAAACACATTCCAATCATTCCAGTATCTGTATGAGGCAATCTACTAGTCATCTACAGCCAATTAGTGATTTATAGCCAAATATGCTAAGTTAGGGCTGACAAAGCTAGATCCTAATTCAGATTTTATAAGTTTAAGAGAAACTAAGTACCTATGTCAAAAAATATAATAACTGGATCCACAATTACGTTTTAAATTACGGAAGAGCCACTGGAGAAAAAAATTAATGACAGAATGACAACAAATATCAGATATTTCTCAAATTAAGTATATAACTTCTCAAATTTCCCTAGTTAGCACATTCCAGTTGAATTAAAACTAAAGCACACTTACAGTATTTTTTTTTCTTACCAAAATTTCCCAATTCAAAAATGGTCTGGATTTAAGCAGTACTTTTCCCAGCAAATCCTTAAAGTTTAATTTGCCCTTGAAACAGCAATGATAATTCTTTTCAGAAGTCATTTTCTTTCTATTGCACAGAGACTGATTTTAAAGCCAATCCAGGCAAATGAATTCAGAAAAAGCACATTTATCTAATCCATTTAGCAAATGCTGTAATCAGCTTCTACATGAACAGTGAAATACAGAAATTTGTGAAACTCTCCACTTGATGTCAGTTATACTATTGTGTTGATGGGAGCCATTTCTGGCAGAGGTAGCCAAGTCCCATACATATGGGGAAGGCAAAAAGCAGAAAAACATTGCAAAGTCTTAGCAGTTCTTTGACTTCTAATGATTACAGACCAATTGTGAACCATGTTGCTGTGCAGTCTTCTTGTGAGGTTTACATCTCAAACACAAAGAAAGGAACAGTTGCTCCCTTAAGCAGATGTATTGGAATTATCTTCTTCTAGCTTATTTTTTTTTTTTCTCTAAGGTCAAGTAGAAAATGTGAGACATTCTCATATACCACAAAAGTGATACAGCAGGCTGGAGTCACTCTAATCAAATTGGGGGCAATTCCTTTGTAAAATCCACCGATGCCTTCTTTCCTTTAGAGGGAAAAATAGATATATGCTTAATTTCCTACATAGCTAACCTGACGATACAAAAGTTTAATTGGCACAGGGCATGGAATCAGCATTCAAGCCTCCCCGTGCTTTAAGTCCATGTTTTTGACATACTGAAGTAATGTAGTTTACGAGCTATTTGTAGGGGCTTCCATTTCTTCTGTGACTGACTCAGGAAGAGAGGGCAGAGGCACTCCAAAACTTGAAAAGTGCTATAATGACAACCATCTTTCAAATGTCTCTAAACATACAGGCACACAGGAGCATTAACTGATTAACTAATGTACGCATTAAAAGTCTTATAGCTTATATAAATGCAAGGCGACACTAAATCTAGCACATACAAAAACAAAACTTTATTTCCTTAATGCCTAGAATGGAAATATGGCCTTCGAACTTATCACTTGGGTTCTCAATAAATATTTACTGAACTGAACTCAATGTAAACATCCTAAATATTCTGCTCTGGCCTTTCAGAATTACAGAAAAATATAGGGATGTCTACCTATAACAGTTTATCCACAGGCTGAAGAGCGAGCATCTCTTCTGTATATGGAGACAACTGTTCGCAAGTTATCGTGCATGTAGCAGTTTAATTATATTAAACTAGGGTTTTTATGACTTCCTATATTCAATGCCATTCAACTATCTTATGACACCTAAATTTTGGTATATTAATTTGCTGAAGCACAGTTTTTTTTTTTTTTGAAAGAGAGTGTGAGCAGGTGGGGGTGGGTGGAGAGGAGGGAGAGAGAGAGAGAGAGAATTACAAGCAGGCTCCACGCCCAGTGCAGTGCCTGACACAGCGCTTGATCTCACAACCCTAAGATCACCACCTGAGCCAAAAATCAAGAGTCGGATGCTTAACCGACTGAGCCACCCAGGAGCCCTAATCTCATTTGATTTTTTTAACAACCTTGTCAGCCTAGATTTTCTGATTTTACAAATGAAGGAATCAAGCCTCAGAGATTAAGTCTGTGGTTCTACAGGTAGTCAGTGGGAAACAGAAAAGCAGGGGCCACCAGCCATGTTTTCCCCACAGCAAAGTGGCCTTTGCTACCCAACTAACAGCAACTGGATACTTGGAGGCATGCAGGGCACCTCCTGAAAGCTGTTTTGAGACGCCACATGCTCTCACCTCCATGTCTTTGTGATCACGTCCAGCACGCCCTTGTAAAACATGTGCTGGTCCTGAAGACGGGCTCTCACGACCTGATACGGGTACGTGGCTGCCACAGCAAATATTTTGGAGAGTGCTGCAACAGATATGTATTCTATTGTGCTCTAAAATGACAAAACAAAACATTTATTTTTCTTTAGACGGGATTCCTCTACAAATATAAAAGTAAACATTATATAGGAAAACGTTTAAATGGATCTGAGAGTGAAAAATATGGTTTCCCCATTTAACACAAGCTCTAGCAAATAAGGGGTTCTATTTTTAACACGTGTCATTTGCCTATAAAATATTTAACTGTAAATTAAATTAGTGGCAGCTGTCATCATAGCAATATTACCAAAGTAAACATAACAAAACTTCCATCTATTAAATGCTCATAAACATAAATGATATCCTTTTTTTTTTTTTTTTAATAAAGAACCATCTTACCAACTGGGCTTCTGGTAATCTGTTGATATGCTGGTTGTACTTCAACTTCAACAATTCATATGCCATAAATTGAAGGGCACCATGTGATGTTCCAAACAGCCCAGGAATAAATCCCTAAAAGGGAACAATTAAACAAAACAAAACAAAAACTAAGCCAGTTCCCAAAGGACCACAGTTTCCAGGGACGGGAGTAAGGAATGGGTGACCTCGATGTGTGACTTAGAGAAATGGTTACTGTACAAAATTTTAGACAGGCCTTCTCACACCCACCAGTGTCATGGTGATGTACCTTATGGTAATCAGGATAAACAGATTAAAGCACAATTTCTGTTTATAAACTAGAACTTCGGTATTCATTAAATTGTTTCTTGCCTGAGTCTGGCTTCTTTTCAGGACTGACTAGAGGTCACTCAGAACTCAGACAACAGAGTCAAGGGAAGTTACAATGCTCAGTTATTCAAGAAATACTGATAATTCATTACCTTATACAATCCACGCACACCTTCATACTTATATATTTTCAGAAGTGTATCAAACATTCCTTTATATTGTCGTTGTGAGGAGTTAACAACACCATTGTACTGTAACATAAGGCGAGTTTTTGTTACCCATAATGGGTTTGTAATGCAGAGGGTCATGGCTCCTAAAATCAAATTTAAATAAGATTACTCAGCATACAGGTACTTTGTCACTTACGACAATCCAGATTAAAAACAGTCCTTTAATATAAACAATGGGTTGCCCAGGGGTTGTACCTGAAACAGTGAGATATAGTATCTGAGGAAGTCTGAGGGTTAAAGGGTAGCCATAGTTTTTGGTGGTCATAAAAAGTTCCTCACTCGGTTAGTGGGAGGTAAATTAAAAGGGAAATGGAAATGTGAAACACTTTCCCTTTGAGGTGTGAGGACAGCAAAGATGTCCTGGCTCCTAAACAGTATGGTATGGTGTAGAGAACAGATGGGAGTCCTAGGAAGTGGACTCTGATAAGATATAAATATTTAGAAGTAGGACAAAGTATAACCCAGAGGGGTTGGTTATTAGGGGAAAAGGATCAGGAATCCAACATCTCAATAATTTCTACATGTGCCTATATATATATCCACCCCAACTTTACCACAATCCTCCTCAAATCCAAAGTGGCTAATGCATCTCAAAACTTAAAGAACTACATGATAAATAATATTTTACATTCTTTACAGAAAGTGACAATTTTGTATATGAAGAATTTCATCTGGTTAAGTTTCTCATTTGCTGAGTTTCCTAAGTAGTGTTTTATTCAACAAACATTTACTAAGTCCCATTGTGATTCAGGTCTGTGCTAGCAGCTAGGTATTCAAAAATGAGTAGGTTTTTTAAGACAAGAGCTTTCAGTAAACAAAGTGTCAAAGTATGAGTTATAAAGATTTATGGGTCCTGTTCTGCTTTTCTCTTCAGAATATTACACATACATGAGACAATTAAACAAGGCTACTAAACTGTCTAATTTGAAAACTGAAATTATACTTTAATTGAAGAAAACACCATACCAAATCATCTTAAACTATCAGGAATTCATAACTTTTCTAAATTTTACTTCCTTTGTGATAACTAGAATTCTTGAAATCTGTCCAGATTAACCAATAAGAATAGTTGCTTTCTAAGAAATTCCATGTGATAACTGGTTACATAAGCATACTCAAACTCTATTGTTCAATGGGGGTAAAAAAGCAAACAAAACAAAAAACAAAAGTGAAAATCAAGTTGGTAGTTGCTGTTTTAGATTTCACACATTGCCTTACCAGCTTCGGCAGCGGAGACGAGGTACTCTGTTGCCTCTAAACGTTCCGCTCTTCCTTCTGTCTTATATGATTTGATGGCATTGTAACTAAGAGAATTAAACATAAGCAGTTTGATAAATATTTGAATAGGTGTCATAGAGCAGTAAAGTCTGTTTTAAAATGTGTGTAACTTAACAGCAGTACCCCAGAAGTCAATACATGAGGCAACCAAGAATGGATTTGCTGGAAATGGTTTACTCTAAGAGTTTACCCATCCCGCCCCCGGAAATGTATACGGCTACCACTACGTATGCAAAATAGTTTAATCACATACTTAACCAATTAATAGCGACAACAGGAAAACTGGGAGGGGGAGGGCCGTAGCAGTGGTGCAGCAATGGGGCAGACAAGGCAGAAGGACAAAAGGGGGCCCCTAACAAAGAAGTGCTGAGCACCATGTTCAGGTACTGTGGTTGGCAATTCTGCCACCTAAAACACTCGGTGGGTCCTTCCTGGTGGATTAACAAGGACCACAGGCAGCACACAAGTAATCATAACAAAGACAACAGAGATGGTGTCATAAGAGCTAGAGAAACTAGGGCTGAGATCACAGAAGGCTTGTGTAGTAGGCGGCACTGGTGAGGCGTGGAGACAGGTACAGTTTCAATAGGGAAACAGGTGAACATGAGCAAAGATTATAATAAGGGCGGCCGGGGAAGACAGAGAAAACCGAGACACACTTGAGTGGCAGACTGACACTTGGGCTTTATTTGGCAGAAAATTGAGAGCCACTCAATGTTTTTCAGCAGAGGAGTCCGATCAGCCTATTCTAACTCCAATTTCCATTTTCCTCTTGGAAGAAGAGTTCAGCTACATAAATCCTTCCAAACTTTACCAATACTATTCTAACACGAAACAAGTACACTTTTTAAAGAAATTCTCATCACATAAACCTTACATTCATACAGCATGTCCTTAGAAACTCTCTTTAGAGAACCTACACAACTTAAAATTCATAATAGAATCCATTTTATACCTATAGTTTCACCCATCTGTGTTTCAGAACCAAAAAGAAGAAAAATACATTTTTAAACAATACTAAGTTTGAATCCGTTTTGCATTCACTTAAAAAATATTTTAAGATTGTGGTTTGGGGGCACCCGGGTGGCTCAGCTGGTTAAGCTTCCAACTCTTGACTTTGGCTCAGGTCATGATCTCAGGGTTGTGAGATCGAGCCACACACCTGGCTCTGCGCTGGGTGGGGAACCTGCTTAAGATTCTCTCTCCCCCTCTGCTCCTCCCCACCGCCAAGACTGTGGTTTGGATACTGCCATAAAATTATGGCAGATAAAGTAAAATATACAACACAAAAGAGAAAAAGGCAGATAGACCAGGTCCTGATGTTCTCCTAAAAATGCCATCTATAAAACAAAGACAAGCCTCCCCAATCCTGGATTCAGGTTCAAATATCAAAGGCAGCAAGCGCTCCTGCAATGCGGTGCTGTTCCCACGTTCTTGCACAGTCAGTAAGCTCAGTGTGCCTGTCACAGGCACCTTCTGCAGCTTCTTCACTGCTCACAGAATTGCAGCTATTTCACACGGTGACCACACCTGACAGGGTAAGGAGGAAGGAAATGAACGAGCTAGGAAGATGATGGAGCAGGTCAAATAGGTGGCAAGAAGGGATGTGCCTCAAGCTCTTTTAGCCGCGCATTGGCTTTTACTTTCTGTTCCCAAGAGGGGGCTCCCATTGTATGTGTTCTTATGAGGACCCCAAGACACGTCCTCTTCGGCTTTCCAACTTCCTTACGAATCAGGAGTACTTTGATAAGGCATCTTCCCGAATTCACCTCACAGAGGTGGCTTCTGTAAGAGCGTTTCTCCAACTCATCCTTCACCTTCTTCCTATTTAGAACTTTCTTCCAGACCAAATGCCTCTGATAATAGCTGACAGAGAAGGAAAGTAATAAGCCTTTTGCTCTTTCTGACCTTTCCTATTCAGAGAAACTGATGAAATGACTCATCTTGCTTCATCAACTGAAATGTACAGATCACTGAAAACAAAAACTCCTTTTATTTAATACTGTAAAATCTCCCAGATTTACTCACAAGAAAAAGTAGAGTCCCCAGGATAAACCTGCACCCCACACATTTGGGGTTACTCCTTGGTAAAGTCCCCGTAGTCCATCAAGTTTCCAAATGGTAGTCAAGCAATGCACAATTCCTTTATATTTTGGTCTCAGTTCCAATCCATCACTCACTGCAGTAAAGGCACAAAATTAGGTGAGAGGAAAGTTCTAGCTCTGAATCACATATAAACACAGACATCACATAGTCATAGTACGGAGATAAATTCAGGAGAAAACCCTTTTTAGAGAAAAATATTTCTCTTTATTTTTTGGAATTATTTACTCTTTATTAATTTCTCTTTAAAACATCTGATGCATATTGCTAGAATGTTCAACAACTTTCAGTTCTTATGGTCTCTGAACCTTAAAGCTTTTACACAGGCTATTCTGTCTGCCATGAACACTGTCTTCTCAGTCACCTAACTCCTTTATACAGCTAACTTTGATTCCTCTTTCAGGTCTGTTTAATAATTTCCTTTGGTGATCCTTTTCCTATCCCCCTAGATGAGCTCAAGTTTCTTTGCACCCATGGCATACCATACTTGCCCTACCATAATAAAAACACTCTTCATTGCAATCATTATTGTTCAATTATTCTGGCTGCCCAGCAGGAAGATGCTCTGTGAGGGCAGAGACTACTACTTCTTCGATGCAATATTTCTACTTCTATCTTAGTGCTTTGTACACTGTAGGTGCTCAATATATATTTGCTCAATTATTATATCCTGAATATTGTTTCTTTTCCAGATCCATTGTCCATCCCTTTCTACCACATTCTGCCTAGCAGCCTGACCTTGTGTTCTAGTTTCTAGTTGAGTTGGGCTAGTGGGGAGGCCTGACAAAAGATCAGAGGGATGCAAGAGAGTGGATGCAGGTATTTACTCTTTTACCTCCCTTCCTATGGGGTTGCCTTAGGCGGGCTGCACTTTTCTATTGCCAGTCACAGTTCCTCTCAAGGTGGCCCTCTTTCAGTGACCTTCTTCCCCTTGACATTTGGCCCTTCAGGTGGCAATAGCCCAAACGGTTTCTAGCTCCAGAATACTGCAGTATTCCTTGTGGTTTTGCTATAATCTCCTATCTTTGTAAACAGTCCTGGTTAAGCAACCCCCCCCACACACACCCTGAATTATCTTATTTTGAATGTGCCTTCTGTTTCCTATGGGGAAATGGAATGAAAGAATGTCAAATTTATAATCTAGATTTTTTAAAGTTGGAATTTTACTACATATAGTTTTGTATACTGCTTTTTTCTTCACTTGAGAGTATACTGTGAGAATTCCTCTTTGTTATTATAAACTTATTTGTAATTAAATAGACTATCAAAAGATTTTTTAAAATGGTATGATGGTTTTCCCTCTCATAGATATCCCATCATTTGTACAATCATTCCCCTAGTTGACATGTAAGTTGTTTTTTTTTTTGCTATTATTAAGAGGTTTCTAGAGAATATTCTGTGCAACATTCAAATTCCTACATCCTTAGAATTAACTATTAGAATGGGAATTAATATGGGTCAAAGGTTTTAAGTGCATACTGAAACTGCCCTCTAGTTTATACAAATTACAGTCCTCTGGCCATATAAAAGCATGCCCAGTTCATTGTCCCCTTTGCCACTACTCCAACACATAACGCAGCCTGGCAAAGAATCACTGTTTGCCATTGCCAGGGAAAGGGAGAAAGTCAATTTCTTTCATCATTAACCTGACAATGTTACACCATGAAATGAGATTAAAGTACATGAGGCTTTGTCAGAAGACCTGGGTTTGATATCTAATTTCCCTAATTAGCGACATGATCTTAATCTTTCTGAGCTTTAGCATCCTCATTTATAAGATGGGGATAAATATGACCTACCTCACAGGTTGCTGACAAGTTTATACAAGATACCAAATTTAAAAGCAAATAATAGAGGGACTGGCTCTCAAGAAATATTTTGCTATGTTTATTTCATAATCTTTCGGATAAGCATCAGAATTTGAATTTCACATCTCTTATTCTCCTGATAAATTTCTTTCCATTTTCCTTTCAATAATAAGCTCACAACACAGTTTCTCTCTTGAGGTAAAAAACAAAACCACAAAAACACCATCTTTGCTTTTCATGGGTATGAACCAATGATCTCTTTATTGTTTTGACAGGTCACTTGATTATAAAAGTAGAGTATTAAGTATCTCAGTAACAGGCAACAACATTCTATACCCTATACTTCCCTGATACTATAATCTTGTCTCCACTATATAGTTAGGATCAAATCTTTAAATCTGAAAAATATTCATTTGTACACCTATCAATTTAGAAAAAAATTGAAAAACTATTTATTGACTCCTTATTATTGCCAGGCAAAGGGGGAATCTAAACATAAGTAGGACACAAACCCTGACCCTGAGGAAGACATAATCTTCAAGGCCAAACAGCAACAATCACGTTGCAAAGTTACAAGCACTATGGTGAATGAAGTGCTATAGGATGACAGAAGAAACACACAAAAAATGTTTTGTATAGAAGGAAGGGGGGAGATGCAGTAGAGTGACAGGGAACGTGAGAGAAATGCTTGGGTAGAGCCTTGAAGATTGATTAGAAACTTGTCTTTGGGGAAAGGAGAGAAAGGTTTGTCTCTAGACAAGTGCACTAGCTGGTGTAGATAACATGCAAGCATCCCAGTGCCTGGCACCGTCTGGGAGAACATTAGGGCTTTGGTGAAAAGTGTACAGTTGATGGAGAGAAGGGATGGTAGGAAATTAGGCTAGAGAGTAGGACAATGGTGTGATAGTATGAACTGCCCACTGCCCTGTGATTTGGTCCTCCACCCATTACTGCAAGTGCTCCAAAGCCCCCGAAGTGAACTTTGGGAACCCTCTTTCTCACCAACCATTTAGCAGCACCTAAGACTGTCTACCTCCTAAACACTCTTCTTTGGGCTATTTTTACACCACACTGTCCTGATTTTCCTCTTTCTTCGCTGGCCACTAAATTTCCTTTGCAGCCCCCTTCCACTCCAACACTTAATGTGTGACCCTGTGTCACTTACCTGATTACTCTGTGGTTATCTCATCCACAGAATGGGAAAGATAATAGAGCCTAACTATAAAAATTACAAAGGGCTAAATGAATTAATACATATACAGCCCTTAAAATCATGTATGGCACACGGCAAGCATTAAGTGAGTATTAGTTTATTTAAGCTACAGGGTCTTGCAGTATTACCCTATATATACAAAACTGGACTGTATGATATTCTTGTTACTTGATTTTACATTTTGGTTCCTTGATTAACTTATGGATTATTAGGCTTTCAGGTTATTTTAGAAACTATTTTTATACCTCATTCTTCACTGGGGCTTGCATTTTCACTCTCATCAGTCTTTTTTTAAGTTTTATTTAAGTAATCTCTACATCCCATATGGGGCTTGAACTTATGACCCCAAGATCGAGTTGCACCCTCCTCCAACTGAGCCAGCCAGGCACACCTCTCTCTCATCATTCTTGGATGATTTAAAATTGTATCTTAAAGTTAGAAGGGTCCTCAACAATCACCTCATCCGACTGACCTTTCCACTCAACAAAGAGTATCTTCTACCTACTGTCATCTAGCCCTGAACCACTTCCAGATATCACCAGTTTCATTTCTGAGCACCCCCACTTGGGGCAGGCCACAATCTGCTTACCTGTCATTTCCACTCAACCTCCACCTGGTCTTTAGATGAACTCATAAGATAAATCCCTTTCACACATGGCAGCTCTTCAAATACCTGTCTCTGCCCTCCACCCACCTGCAGCCAAACTAGTTCTTCAGTCATTTCTCACAAGTGATTTCTAATCTTTCTACCACTCTGGACACTTCTGAGTTCCAATTTGCACCTGAACTCATTGAAATATTCCATATTAATGGGACATTCAAGACTAATACCCCTGTCACTAGGTAATTAAAATTTCATTACAAGGGTGTAAGTTTTATGAAGCATAAAAACTACAGCATTAATCCTGATGGCCAAGCAACTATTTTGATTTCAGTTATTCATCTTCCTAAATTTTCCTCTTTTCTATCACCATTTCACAGCCACACTTTATCATTACAAAGTCCTGCTTTGATTCCTAGATCTTTAATTTTGTTCTCCCATCCAGGCTCAATCATCTTACATATTACCTTGGCCACACTGGTTTCCTAAGACTCTCCGCATTTCATCAAGATTACCAATCTTCTCAGGTACCAAGAATTCCCTTTCTTCAGGCACAATCTGCTTCCTAGCACACTCTTAAACTCACCAAGCCAACACTATTCCTCAATGATCATCCCAACTGTCACCTCTTCTCCTAGACAAAACATTGGAGACACCAAATCATACAGGCCTGTACCTGCAGCCAAATCCAAAATTCTTTTCTTCATGTTCAAGCCACCGTATACTAGGGAGTCCTAGAGGTAGAATGGTGAGTGGTTAAGAGTCAAAGCATTCTAGAATTAAACTGCCTGGGTTCAAATCCCACATCTATGCCGTTATAAACTTGAGACTTGAGCAAGTTGGTCAACTTCTATTATTTTCCTTTGTATAATGGAGATAATACATTCACAGGGTTGTTCAGGGTAGTAAATGAGATAGATAATGCATGTAAAACTCTTAGTTCATTGCCTTGCTCTTAGTAAATGCTCAGTGTTACTTGTCATCATAATTTTTATCTGTGCATGTGTCACAAAATCCATGGAGACTATAAGCCTTTCTGGGTTTTCTTTTAGGAAGTATACTGCATAATTTTCACTGATTTTCCTCTGTAGAATGGCTTCTTGACTTCTTTCCAGCTGTCAAAATATCAGTCCTTCTGTGGGGAACCTCAAGATCTAACGGAATCTTACAGATACAGCTACATATGGCCGTCAGCAATCTATAATTCTCCTGATAGTCTGTCTCTACTCATATTTTGATATTTGGATTTTGCCCTCAATTTTATGTTGTCTTAGAATTATCTTTTATGTGACTAACACTGAAGCCTACAATTAGACCGTAAATCCCTTGAGGATAAGAACTTTGTTTAGGTACCTCTGTATCCTATACAGCAGTCTACAAATATTAAGAGAACAATATATTTTAGGCAGATAGAATCATTCTGACTCTTGAAGATGAACCACTTCTGCAGATCTAATTCTCAAGGCAGAACTTGTAGTAGTAAGAAAATCAAATGCCAGAAAAATAGTTTCCCAGTAAAGTTATCAAGACCTTCTTTGAAACTATCTTTTCCGGAATTCACTGTTGAGTTTAACTTCTAAGGTGCTTTGTAAATTTCACTTAACTCCCTGCACTTAATTCAATAAACGTCAATTTAAAAAAATAGCATTTGGATGCTAGCTATCTATTCCTTCATAGGACTTTGTACCACACTATAAACACCAAAAAACAAGCCTTCAAGAGAATCCTATCCCAAACCTATTCCCAGCCACCCGCTGAGGATTACGCCGTAGCCCAAGCACTTTTTCTCAGCTCAGCTGCCAAACACGTGGCTACCGTAAGATTTCAAAGTACCTCCAGAGGTTGGTGAATGATTAGCGCATGCGAGGGCTAAACCCTAAAATGTGCCAATCCCTTTCTCACTTTACAAATACGGCGTTGAGTCCCCCATCCTACGCCAATTTGAACTTTTCTCAGACTTTTCTATCCCTGTTCTCCATCCCTTAGACTTGGGGAACTGGGACGAGGGCGGCCGGATCCCTTTCCCAGGCTCCTGTTCCTCAACTAGTTCCAGGTGAGGCCGGATAAGCAGCATTTGCTTCAACGCTCGCCTTGTAGTATGCAAGGGGCAGGGGAGAGCAAGGCCTCCTTTTGCTTCTTTATCACCCAGTTCGGGTACCAGCAAGGAGAAGGAGCCCAGGGTCCGAGTGGGCTCTTACCGGCGAAGCGGATCTTCACGAGGTCCAGCGGGTGCAGCGCGAGGTTGGACAGGACCCCGCCGCTCACGCCCGCCACCAGGTTCTCGTACCGGACGTGGCGGAATATCGTGCTCCACGCCGACGACCCTGACGCCGACTGGCCCTGGGCCGTCATAGTCCCAGGGCCCGCTGATACCACGCCCAGGGCCGCGGAGGTGGTAGGAGATGCAGTGGCCGCCACCGTGGCGACCGTCGCCGCCCAGGAGCAAAAACCGCGGGGGGCGAGCCCACTTCCGGGACCAGCGCTAGGACGCGGTAACTAAGCGGAGAGACCCCAGCGCAGAGCCCGCGTGAGAGACGCGAGGTAGTACGTCACGCCAGCGGAGAGCGCGAAGGAGGCGGGGCGCCGGCCTCTGCCAAGTCCCCGCCCTTCCCTCCCCGCCCCGCCCTTCCCTCCCCGCCCCGCCCTTCCCTCCCCGCCCCTCTCTTCCCTCCCCGCCCCGCCCCCAGCTGCGGCCGTTTCGGGCCGAGGGAAGCGGAACCGACAGCACTGCTAAGAACCACCTCGGGCCAACCTCGGTCAGCAGAACTACGGAGCGCTGCAGGGTCCTGCTGAGGCGGCTGGCTTCCACACCGTGGAAGTCACATGACAGGAAGTAGTATTGAAGCGGAAGTAGCATGTGGCTGAGGAGGCGGGGGTAACCTGAACGCGGAGGAAAGGCTTAGCGGGTCTGGGATAACTAGCCTCCAAAATGAAGGTGAAGATGCTGAGCCGGAACCCGGACAACTATGTCCGCGAAACCAAGCTGGACTTACAAAGAGGTGAGACAAGTTATTAGGGAGTCTGCCCGCCTAGAGTCTGGCCTCAGCTTCCACGGAGCAAAGCGGGGGGCACACTGGCGCTCCAGTCTGGTTCTTTCCCTGTTCCCTTTTGCCGAGGCAGACTTTGTACAGATAAGGACGTTGCGGGACTGGGTAGCAGGTAACTTCTCTTCAAGGCCGTTTTTGAAGAACTTTTTCTAGTGGTAAGGGGGAAAGCTGGTCATACCTGGAACGCTTCCGCCTTCCCCTTTCCAGCTGCTGCTCTCTGATTTTTCTCAGATTCCAGTTGTTGAGAAGTGGAACGTGAAAGCCAAACTCGTGAATTCAAGGATTTGACAGGCTTCTTTATACCTCTCGAACTTTTGGCCACTTTACTTTTTAAAGTTACGTCCTTCTACATGTGGAAGGAGACAAAGGTGAAACGTAAAGCCATCGATTTTCTAAACCCTTGTGCAGAAGTCTAATGGGGAAAATGGCTAAAATGAAATTAATAAGTCTTACTTATTGGTCTTATTTATTATTCTTATTTATTGGTCTGTTCCCCCATTAGCATCCTGATTGCTTATCATTTATAGATCATAATATCTAAATGACGAGGGACTACCCATATCTGAAAAGAGAATAACAAAGGCCTTACGGCAGGAATAAAGATAAAGCATAAGAGAAGGGCCATGTCTTCGGAGTTTGAGTAAGGGGGATAAGCCACAGAATATGAGGCTCGGATGATATTTCAGTATTTTGACTGAGTAGTAGAGATTATCCGCATATATGTGAGTAATGCTGAGAAGTAAATATGTGGTCTCTGTTCACAAGATGTTTACAGGTTAGGTAACAAGATAGTAATGTTTCTAAAATGCAAATTAGTTTATGTCATTTGGACCTGACATCATCCCTGCTCCTTGAACCTCTGGTCCCATCTTCCTCTCTAATTTCACTTACTTTCCTTGCAAGTAGCTTACATTTACCCTTGGAGATCTGAGTGCATTTCAGACATTTCCCTTTCAGATGTCCTGTGCACACACCCTTACTAAATTTAGCTCCTTCCTCTGAACAATAAGCTTTGCATACTTATTCCCTGTAGTTGCCTCCCCCCCAGCCCATTTAAAGCACCCTTCCTCTGTGCTTTGATCACATTTTTGTACTAACATCAGAGTGTGTATCACATTGTCTCATGATTATTTTGGTTATTAGTCCTTTCCATCAGACTGAGCTTGCGTAGAAGGGAAGAATCTTATTTGTTTCTATATCCACTGTGTCTAGACAACACCTGGCACATAGTGGTTGCTTTATAAATGTCTGAAGGAAGGAATGAGTGAGTGACTGGCTGGTCATAGACTCTCCATGTTAGGAGATTATTAGTCATCTGATGTTATTGAGTGTCTTATTTTCTATATCTTCCTGTTTCTTTATAGTTTCGGATGGAAGTGGTTTTTTTTTTTTTAAGATTTTATTTATTTATTTATTTGAGAGAGAGCAAGCACAAGAGGGGGAGGGCAGAGGGAGAAGGAGAAGCAGACTCCCTGCTGAGCAGGGAGCCTGTCCCAGAGCTCAGTCCCAGGACCCTGAGATCATGACCTGAGCTGAAGGCAGATGTTTAGCTGACTGAGCCACCCAGGCACCTTTGATGGAAGTTTTAATAGCAAAATGGAAAAATAGAAGTTTAGGAGCTCTGTAAAACGTAAATCAAGGAAGATATTTGTTACCCCCTTTTTAAAAAATTTATTTATTTATTCGCGCGAGAGAAAGAATCTCAAGCTGACTCCCCTCTGAGTGCAGCGCCCAACGCGGGCCTCAATCCCAGGACCCCAAGATCATGACCTGAGCCGAAATCAGTCGTCAGCTGCTTAACCAAATAAACCACCCAGGCGCCCCATTTGTTACCTTTTTTTATTCGTTCATTCTTGTTTAGGTGTTATTTTCTTGTAAATTTTGATTGAATGTTGGATATAGTACCATTAATAGGGAGTTAGAGGATTAAAAGACAGCAAGGTGAAGATGTGGGGTAAGAAAATGCATTTCCTTTTAAACATTAAGGGTTTTTTAGACATGTGTGCTTAGAAATATTTCCTAAGCACAACTGTTAACTGAGACAACATGTTTGGGAGCATAGCATAATAGTTAATAGAACATGGATTCTGAAACCAGACTGCTTTGGTTTGAATCCTGGCTTTATCACTTCATAGGCATGTTACCTCTCCGTGCCTCAATTTCCCAGCTATAAAATGGGAAATAGTAATAGAACTTACCCCATAGGGTGCTGTGGAGATTAAATGAGTTAATACACAGTATTTGGAACAGTGCCTGGGACATGGTAAACTTTTTTAAATAAGTAAACAAATGTGTGAAATGCTCAGTAAAAAGTAACTGTAATCATAATCACAACAGTGTATGCCTATCAGTATAGTGACTAGCGCTGGAGATTAAGTGTTCCCTGCCTCAAAAGGAGCTTAGAGTTCGGTTGAGTAAACATTTGTCATGTATTTGTTTTGTACCGAGCACTGTGCTAGGCATAAGTAGTAAAGTGAAGAACGTGGTGAAATCCCTGCCCATGAAAACTTTACAATCCAGTTAAAGAATGTAGTCAGACATATAAAAGGAAAAGCTGAGGTTATATGTAGGGTCTATTGTTTTGCAAGATGTATGCATTCCATGATTTTCCGGTAGTTTTGGAAAGGTTTCTGCGTAAAATGTCATCTGCTTTTGTATTTTTCACAGTGCTAGGCATAGAACAGTGTTCCTAACAAAGGCTTATTGAGTAACAAATTGAATAATTAGCTGAAGAAGCTCACAGGAAATATTAACAGCTAATTATTTTATTAAGAGGAGACATTTTTATTTCAGTTCCAAGAAACTATGATCCTACCTTACATCCTTTTGAGGTCCCACGAGAATACGTAAGAGCTTTAAATGCTACCAAACTGGAACGGGTATTTGCAAAACCATTCCTTGGTTCTCTGGATGGTCACCGAGATGGAGTCAATTGCTTGGCAAAGCATCCAAAGAGCCTGGCTACTGTCCTTTCTGGGGCATGTGATGGAGAGGCAAGTGTCATTCTAAACATTGCTATTTTAAACAAAATAGTTGTGTGGCAAATGTTCTTTAGTTTTGCGTTACTGTGGATTTTAATTGATTTGATTTCATTTTTCTATGTCCTGTTTTCTATTAATTCTCAAGAATGAATTTTGTTTGAATTACAGACTACAGTAGTTTCTCATCTAAGCCTCAGAAATTAGAAACATAGCAGCTGAAGGCTCAATTGAGCTGAAGGCTCAAGCATGTTTACAGTAGTAAAGGTATTGGTGAAGTTTTTTTTTTTTTTTTTCCACATGGGATGTTATTAATGATTCAACACTTATTTCCACTCTGGCAAGAAAAAGCTTTGAAACACTTTAGTATCAACAGAGTACTTAACAGATTGAATTTTTTGCTTGTTGATACACTATCCATATGCACCGCAATATTTTAAACTAGAGGATTTTGTTTTTAGCAGTCTGGTAGAATGAGTCATAGCCCTTTCAGTGTGAATTTATTTTTCTTGGAACGTAGTACTCCTGCGCCTGAACATTTTATGTTTATAGTTCACTAAAATTTCCTGGTATGCTTTACCATAGGTTAGAATCTGGAACTTGACTAAACGAAAATGTATCCGTACAATACAAGCACATGAAGGTTTTGTACGAGGAATATGTACTCGCTTTTGTGGGACTTCTTTTTTTACTGTAAGTATAATGCAATTAAGTCATTAACTCTTTTCAACATGTGTAAGACTGAGCTAATATTTTCTGAATTCATTTATTTGTTCCAAGTTTTGGAGTTTCACAACCCAAAATCACTTCTTAAAGTCTTGAAAAGTCCTGGTTTTCTTTATACACTCCAGCCTTCTTCATAGTTCTTGATTTTTTTAAATAATTACTTAACGTGTTATCGAATTAATATTCTGTAGAACACTGAGAAGTGGGATTAATGCAAGGCAAGGCTAGAAAGGTTATTTACTCTGGAAGATTTTCAGTGCTGGAGATGAGTAATTTGTACTTTGTCAGATAGTAGTAAATTTTTGAAGTATTTGTGTGTGTGGTAAGGTATACAGAATGTACAATTTACCATTCTAATAATTTTTAAGTGTACATTTCAGTGGCATTAAGCACATTCACATTATTGTGCGACTGTCACCACTTTTTCATCTTCCCAAACTGAAACTCATGTCCATTAAACAAATACTCCTTATTCCCCTCTGCCCCCAACCCTTTGTAACCACTGTTTCACTTTCTTTTTCTATGCAGCTGCCATGTTGTAGCTGGTGTCAGAATTTCTTTCCTTTTTATGGTTGAATCGTACTCTAATTGTACATACATATGTTTTGTTTATCCGTTCATCAGTGGACATTTGTCTCCACCTTTCTGCTTTTATGAATAATGCTGCTATAAACATTGGTGT